TCTTAATTATAAAGATGATAAGAGGTATATTACTGAAGATAGTTAATTCTATCTACTTTAGCGTGGGGTCATTATAAAATTGACTTGAATCCAAAATAACGAAAATTCTCAATTGTATTTTATATTTAAAATATAGCATTTTATATATTTATAAGCACCAATGAACTGTATATGTATTGTAAATGTAAATAAACTTGTATTTAAACAAATAAATAAATTATTGAAAAGTAATTGTCTTTGTTAATCAATATTTTATTAATGCTCTTATTACAATATATTTTTCTTAGTGTTCACTAGTGAACATAGTTTTATGAATAGTACTGTTGCCACACTCAAAAATATGAGCTGATAGTGAGACTCAATCCCAAGGAAATTAGACCAAGCCTGCGCGCACATGTGGCAGTCATAAACAATCTAAAAATATACAGTCCACTTAAAATACGAAGGAACAAACATACAACGTTTTGTAAAAGATAATAGATATTTGTATAATCGAAACTTCATAGATTCTAATCGATTTTTGAACTCTAGCTTAGAAAATTGAGCAAGTATAACTTTTACTTATTAAAAAATCAGTTCCAGGGTCAAAAGTTTGACTTAATGTGTTGTAATATTAGAGTAAGTACAATGTTTAGAGACTAAGAAAGAGCCAAATATTAAATTATTAGTACATAAGAAAAAACTAGTACAGAAGTTAAAAATTGTATAAATAGTGAGTAATTTCGATAATAAAATCAGAATGAATTTGGAAATTTAAGCATTGGTTTGTTTATAAAACAGCAATACATATTTTGAAAGGTAGGTACGAAAATAGGCGACAAATATTCTCCTACCACATGGACAAACTATTAGATCAGCCCACAATGAATAGTGAGTCGGAGAAAAGTGTCCAGGCCCTGCTAGATACTACCAGGCAATGTATTCATGCCATAAACGGCATGGATACAGGAATAAAAGAAGCAGATATAATATGGACTAGGATAGTTTTAAGAAAATTCGATAGGGCAGGACTACAACAGTATGAACAGTACACTAGGAGAACAGGAGAAACCCAAACCTTAGAAGAGGTTTTGGAGTTTCTCGAACAACACCTCCAGGCAATACAAACAATGCAAACAAAGACATTCAAACAAAAGGCTTTTAAAGCACCGTTCAGGAGTTATCCAAAAGAAACAAGTAGGAACTACCCACAAACAACATGTCCATATTGCAAACTTATAGGACATCCATTAGAGAGTTGTAGGGAGTTCATCAATCTTTCGGTAGCAGAGAGATGGACCGCAGCAAAGGGAATCGGACGATGCTTCTCTTGCTTAAAGCAAGATTTTAGATCCTTATGTCAGGATCGTCAGAAGAAGTGTGAGAAACATCATGTACTATTGCACAAAGAAGAGGGTAGAGCGGGAACGCTGATTGCAAAGGCATCAACAACAACGATCCTTGCAACAGCGCAGATAGAAGTCAAATCATATACAGGAGAATGGACAATTTTAAGGGCTGTAGTAGACCAAGGATCACAAATACTGCAGCTTCCGAAAATAAAGAAGAAAACCCAGATTTTTGGTATAGGCGATAGTTTCGCTGGAGTCTCAAACTCACTAATAAATATAAAAATTAGGCCAAGATTTCCTAGCCCAGTGGTGATTGAGTCGGATATTAAATCCACAACCACAATCTAGCTTCGAGTATAACAAAAGCCAATGGCAGAATGATCCGCTATTTAATAAGAAAGTAGGATCGACATTTTGATGGGCAGCTATATGTTGCCAGAAATAATAATGCAAAGAGTAAGACAAGATGGGTCTATCCTAGCACAAAAAACGAAGCTAGGCTGGATTTTATCAGGACCAGTTAAGACCCCAGAGGCAGATAGAGTAGATGCAATTACCGTAAACCTGGAAATGTTTTGGGAGCTCGAATAAGTTTCAGAAACGGCTACTGAAGATAATGAAGAATGCATGAAACTGTTTGAGGACACTACAATTAGAGATAGTGATGGGAAATTTGTGGTCAGAGTACCCTTTGAAGAGGAAAAAGAGCTAGTTGAATCACGGAAAAAAGCCTTAGCTCGTTTAATGAACTTAGAAAAGCGATTTACAAACGATAACGAATTAAAAGAACAGTGCATGCGCGTGCATGGATGAATATTTAGAAAAGCAACACATGGAAGAAGCAAAGGACACTGGCAAAGGGAAATATTATATGCCCCATCAGGCAGTAATTAGGGAAGAAAGCATAACCACCAAGTTGCGAGTAGTGTTCGATGCTTCGGCGAAAACCACCAATGGGAAAAGTCTAAATGACATCCAGGAATTAGGGTCGAGTTTGGAACACCCTCCTTTAAACCATCTGAACAAATTGAGCTAGATTCATTAGAAGCATAAGTCAATAAGCATTATGGCCCGCCAAATTCAAAATTGTATAAATAGTGAGTAATTTCGATATTAAAATCAGAATGAATTTGGAAATTTAAGCATTGGTTTGTTTCCTTTTTGTTCTCCCAGAGACGTTCCGCAAGTTGAAAATAGTTTGCGGTATCTGGCAGTGAATAGGTTGCGCGCTATCCTATTTACAGATATTGACAGATATTTGTCAGAAATAAATCACCGAAGTGGACAATGACATTATCAGAAGATTGGGAACCATTTTGAATGTCTTAAACTGCAAGGAAATGATCAGCGGATCTGCTGAATATGCATCGAAGACTGCAGAGCTGTTACTATATTTCAAAAATATCCTGACAAGAAGCTAAATCCCATAAAAATTGAAATATAAAATTAATTTAAGCGCCGACTATTAATACATCAATAAGGCAATAGGTCTGATCTTGTTGAGGCCAGGGAAACGACTGACTTTGTGCATTTCTTTTCTACATAAGCTAGCGTGCAATATTCATCTGAGCATACATATGTAATAATGTTCTCAGCTTAACAGCGTATAAGAGCGGCTTACTTTTTAGTGCTGCTATATATTATACTTATATCGCTCTCTGAGAAAGGCTCAAGTGTACGGTAAACGTGTGCATGATATTTACGGCTATGACTGCAACTACACTGTTTACTCGTGCATTATTTCTTTTCCATCGCGCCCACGCAATTTTGTTGTTGCCTTCGCTCTCACGCATTTGTATTAGAGCTTTGGCTTAGCGTCGCTCAGATCTATGCCGTTTCGTTAGCCTTTTGTTGTTTGTGCTTTTCGCTCGCGCACATACATATATTTACTTTTATTTCCTAGTTAACCCTATAATAATTATATAAGTATGTATGCATATATGTACATACATATATGTATGTATAAGAGCGAGGAGCTCTTTCCAACGCATTAGCTGCCCAAACCATTATGCCGAGGGACAGACGGACATATGTATACTTGTCCGCATAATTCTGCGTACACACAAAATAGACAAATTTTAACTTTAAATGTGAATATCTTTTAGAATATGACCCTTTATGAAGTACATGTTTTTGATTTGTATAGGTTTAACATTTTTATTAATAACTATTATTTTTTTAATATTTTTATAACAATTATTACATTCTTTTACTCAAATTTGGCAAATACCAAGTTTCCACGTTTCATTGCGATAGGTGATTTTATTATTTATGAAGAAAGTTATAGCCAAAAAAATATACTCTCTGCCGAAGCTCTGCCCGCAGCTGTTGTCGCTGCTTCTACTTATAGACGCATAGACACGATGATGTAAATATATAATTTATGTGTAATACATACATACATATATTTTTATTTAATTAAATTAAATAATTTAATTAATTTAATTTAATTTTTTTTAAATTAGTTTTTAAAAACATATATTATTTTGTGTTTTACACAATTGCATGCACAATTCAACAGCTATTATTTACACTTTTGTAAAAATATGTTTGACAAATTGCATATAAGTACATTTTACTTATTATACAGTGTTTGTTTTTCAACTCTTATTTATTTTAATTTTATCAGCTATCATTTGGACATTTGTAAATGTATGTTTCACAAATTTGTGAAAAATTCTTGAGCAGCATGAGAAATTGATCTAGACATGTCCGGTCACAGATGATCTTGTATTCTTTCTTAGATTAAATAACCCAATTGTAAGTTAAAGTCCCCTACACTTTAACTGGAAACTTGTGTCCACATTCCAGCTTCTCAACGTTTGCCATATATATACATACATATATGCAGTTTTTTCCGTATTCTTTCATATATTATAAAAGCCAAATGTCAGATGTTGATCAGTGGAAAAATGAAGATTTTTCAAACAAACTTTGGAGCTCTTATACTCCCCTCTGGAGAATCAAAATTGTCCTTATTTCCGTCTCTTCTTAGGAGTGACTTAATGTGCTCTTAGTAGACTGCCCATTTAATTTCGTACATAACTTAGAAAAACTATTAAACCACTTTCGTGCAACGCCATAAATTAAAGTTAAAACTAAGCGGCGTCTGCATTAACTATTTACAGTAACAGAATTCTCAGAAGAAAAGCACAGGTGAGTACAATGTGGCTTAAAACCTAAAACTGCGCGAGCGTAAACGTTGAACGCATGCAGTTCAAGGCACTGCCAACATAGACAAAAAAGCGCAAGCGTAAGTATACACTGACCAACAGTGCTACCCATTTACTTTCCTCTGTTGTTAAATATTCTTTCTTTCACTTTTTTTCCTTATTGCAAGCTTTTCGCTTTTCAAAATGAAATAAGAGTCGTAGAAATTTTGTTAAATGCATTCAACTGGGTATTTATAACAATGCGGTAACCACCAGAGGATGACGTGAAGATTTATGCAACATAGTCGGCGGTGAAGAAGGTTTTATTTGACTTAACGTGACTCCTGTGGCAAACAGCTTTTTAGTATTTATGTGTTTATGCGCACATTTCATAGTCAACTTGTGTAAGTTTTTTTTTTTTTTTTTGTTACAAAATGAATGCGCTTGGCGATATAATAAATACGCCCTGTCTTTTTGCAGCAACAGCCGCAATTACAGGGACAAAACCAATTCAAAAATGTCAGCCGAGCGTGAGTTTGTCAGCGCCGAGTTTGAGGAGGAAGAAGACGAGTTTGTCAGCTTTACGTCGAAGTCTTCCATCGAGACGAGCCTAGCAAGCAGTACCGAGCTCTCAGCCCTGATTCCAAAGACTCAGCCAACTAGTGCCCCTGGCATTGAGCAAATCTATCGCTCCCCAAAGAATCAACTGTCAAAGGAATTTGGAAATGTGAGCGATAGAATGCAAATGTCACAATTTAAGGATGATCAGCACGAATCGATGGGCCCTTGTAACTGTGGTGATTGTAGGGACAGAAGTTGTGATAATGGTGCAGATGCTGCCAATGGCAATGAGAATGGTGATGCGGGTGACAACAATTCGTCCCTGGAGTGTATGTCAATTTGTGGGAGCCACCACTCGACACAATACTATGACTGTCCCCAGATAAACAGCGCCAGCTCCGCGCGGCAATATCACCTCAACGACAGTGAGCAGGAGTCGTTGGTGGAGATGGAGCATCCCGCCGTCTTCGTTGAGGTTGAGACAGAGCGAACTGACTACTCGAACACCTACGAGGGAGATGGCGATTATGAGGACACTCCCGAGCCGAATCAGCCCACCGTAGTTGAGGAAAGTCCCGGTGATTATCGAATTGGTGGCTACCATCCCATTGCTGTTGGCGACATTTTTCAGAATCGCTACCATGTGCTCAAAAAACTGGGATGGGGTCATTTCTCGACCGTCTGGATGTGCCACGACTCGCAGACGCATCGCTATTGTGCAGTTAAGGTCGTCAAATCGGCCGAGCACTTTACAGAGACGGCGCGTGACGAGATCCGTCTATTGAAGAACATCGACAAGAGCAATTGGCATCCATTGCGAAGTCGATTGATCGAGCTAATGGATAACTTCCACATCAGTGGCGAGAACGGCACCCATCAATGCATCGTCTTCGAAGTGCTTGGCGACAACTTGCTGACGTTGATTCAGCGCTCACGCTATCGAGGCCTGCCCCTCTACAATGTGAAACAGATCGCTCGCCAGGTGTTAGAGGGTCTAGCTTTTTTGCACAATCAATGCCACATAATCCATACTGATCTGAAGCCCGAGAATGTGCTACTGGTGGCTGATGATGTGTCCGTTCGCTCACAGGCGAATATCGCTTCTAAAACCTATTTGGAGAGCTATGCAGGAGCAAAGGGCAAGGAGTCTGCAAAGCAATCTTCTCGTCTGGGTATTACTGTGGCGGTTTGCCCATATTCGCGTCTCCTAAACAACTCCAGTGACAGTAAGTTGACCAAGACAGCAAAGCGGCGGCTACGAGCGAGAATTAAGCGCAGCATAAGCTTCTTCAAGGCACACCGCCAGTGGCTACGTCGCCGTGGCGTCGAGGATTTACTAATGCTCGCCTCTCATGGCCTATTAACACCATCATTGGCTGCCGCAGGCGTTACAAATCAGCTCCCGTTTCTCCCGTTCGACGATCTAGTCATCCTGGATAGCAATGATCTCGCACAGCTCCAACGCTTGAATGTCTTTGAGCAAGTGGGAGACATGCCGGCCCCCATACAGCCTCATCCACACTTGCAGCAGCGCAGCGTGAGCGCGGCAGCTCGCATTGGCGAAGAGCCGCCATTGAGGCATTCGATGCTATTAAGTGTGGACGGCAACCTGCGTGGCAAGCGCGCTCCCAAACGTGGTGGAGCTGTCCCCTTTGGCTATTTGAATAATGTTCCTCTTGGAAACATTTACAAGCAGCTGGAGGGAAGTTCTGAAATGCTGAAGCTGCTCGTAAACAATCCAGAGAAATTTGTGCGTCGTGTGCAACAACGCGTGGAAGATGAAGACCGGAAGGCCCAGCCTCACCACCATCCGCAGCGAGCTCATATGCAACCATCGAAGAAGCACAAGAAACAGAATACAAATAAAAAGAAGATGCCTAAGTCACCATATGAAAAGCGTGAGCTGAAAGCTGGCGGGAGCATCTTCACCCAGCACAGAAAACAGGCGCAGTCCGAGATAAATTTGGATTTGCTGTCACGCAAGGATCCCGCCCTAGAGCCCTGCAAATTTCATGTAAAGATTGCTGACATGGGCAATGCCTGCTGGTTCCATCATCACTTTACCAATGACATTCAGACGCGTGAGTACCGAGCTGTTGAAGTTATCCTGGGCGCTGGCTATGATCAGGCTGCCGACGTTTGGAGCGCTGGATGTTTGTTTTGGGAACTGGCCACTGGTGATTACCTCTTCGATCCGCTTCTGCGACGCGGCAACGCCCCGCAGGATGAAGTGCACATTGCCAACATAATTGAGACATGCGGCTCCATACCCGAAAGTCTTATCAATTGTGGAGAATATGCGCCAGACTTTTTCAATAGCGATCATGAGCTGCGGAACATTAAGGAGCTAGCGCCACGCTCATTGGCCGCGACGCTTATCGAACATTATCGCTGGGCACCGCAGGATGCATACGAATTTGTCGAATTTCTCATGCCATTGCTAAATACAAATCCGCACCGTCGCCTCACGGCTAGCAACGCCTTGTTAGATGAATGGCTGATTTTGGATGAGAACCGAACCTGTGGCGGATCAGAACCGCATTAAGACGCAATTCCAACACTCACAATTCCAACTTATACATACGTATATGTATTTAAAACTGCAAGACTTTTTGATTATTATTACTTGTATATTTAAGTATTTTGGGACACCCTGGTTTAAGAAGTTTCAGAAGTCACCCATAGTTATGTACATAAGCATACTCACAAAAACATCATTTCCTATATATTTTGTGATACATTTTAAATTGGCAAGTTAACGTTATATGCAAAAATAAACATATAAACATATGTACTGTTGTCCAGTTGTACGTACATAGATCCATGTGTATTTAATTTAATTCAAATTGCCGTACGTTACAAGGAAATATATATAAAGCCAGCCCTAATGCTATCGATAACAATAACTTGGCTCATTGACAGCGTACAGCAGCCCTGGCCCAGCTGACTCACAGCTGTTGCATACCGTCTGCCTCGCGTTGAACTTTGTAACGCATGCCATACTCTTTAAACACACACAAAGTGGCGGGAGTTTGTAAGTTCATTTACAAATCATTATTAATAACCATAAGATTAGTGAGAACGGTTGCAATACATTTTAGGGCTGTGTTTAAACTGTGTCTATATGTGCTGGGCATGTATGTATTTCGATTAGTTTGTTATTACATAAAACTCGCTTTAATTGGCATATAATTCTGATAACAATTAGCGACGCGACTGATAAAAACAACAACAAAAAAGCTAACTGCCAAAGCGGAAGCGTAGCGCAAACAAATACGGACAGTCACCAAACGCCCACCAGGTGTCATTCAAGGTTGCCCTGTCGCTAGTTAATGTTGATATTTTGTTGTTGTTATTTGGTTATTGTTAAGCACGGTCCATTGCATATACAGTACAGACGCCCACGCGCGCCAAATTCGAATTGTCAGCCACAGAGACACACTGCCAATGACGTTGCTTATCAGTTGCACGATTGATTGACATCGCCATTTGGACATATGTATGTACATACATACATATGTATAGTATGTATGTGGTTTGTGTTCGTTACAGTATAAATTCAATATATTTGTAAATATGTCTTTTAAAGTAAAAATGAAAGCTCTTGGATCACCATAGCGAATGGGGACTGCTCGTGTATTTGTGTATTACTTGATAAACCCCTAAATTTCCCTTACTAATAATTTTTTTTATTGAACAGCATGCGCTGCCGCTTTTGTTTCAAGCTCCATAAATTGTAGGCAGTGGGACAGATAGCCGTGCTTTGCGGTAACGGTGACGCAAGGAACAGCAGCAACAGCACCCGGCTCAGTAGTTGATTATTCCCCACTGCCTAACGTTGGCATCGTCGTCGTCGATTGCCATTGCGCAATTATTTAATGTCGTCAACCGCACTGCTGTGCCGCAGACATTGTTTTAAATTCCGCGTGTTCAATTCATGGCGAACGCGCTTGCAGCGTCAAGAGCAGCACCACCAGCAACAGTTGTCCGTTAGAGCAACAGCCACAGCAGCAACGCAGTTGCCACGAGGAGGACGGAAACAAGTATCGGCACAACTACAAATAGTACGGCCGTACAAAGCGTGAGTATCGTGAGCGATTATCCGGAATAGATCCCACTTGAACTCAAGCTTATAAAATGTCCAGTTTCGAACCCATGGACGCGCCAAAGGAAGTCTTCCAGGGTAAAACCGATCGTTTCAAAGGTGTGACAGTCGATTGCAAAGACGAATGTCTGACTAACGCCCAATTTCAGGAAAAGCTTCAAAGTAAGTCGAAAAATGTTAAATATGTTAATAGTGGCATTCCTACAAGTCACACAGATTTAAACTAAGTGGATTCATTTTATAAAAAATTTAAACCAGCTTTCGTGTCCATTTAAATTGAATGCTGAAAGCGCTGAAGGTCTTTTCGTAAACTCCTAATAATATTTACTATTTAAATCAGTCTCTGAGGTTAATTCGTTTTTAAAAAAAGTGTGCGACCGTATTTTGTAAAATTTATTGTTAATCAAACTTATTACAAATTTAAATTTATTGAAGAAACGCCAAGAATTTTCTAAAAATTATTAATGCGATCTTATTATTTTATAAATATATGTCTGTACGTAAATTTTTATTGATTAGTTATGTTATACCTCTCCCTTTGTCCAACCGAGTGCTTCTTTCTCGGGGATCACAAGGAGTAATTGAATACTTCTGTCTTTTCGAGAAACCCAACGTTCGAAAACTTAAATATATTCTCAGCAGTATTCAAATTTTATTTGATTGAAACTCAAAAAATAAAAATAAAAACAAATGAGAAGAAAATAAATGTTTTGAATATATTTTTGTATCGGCTAGTCATTTCTTAAGATAGTTTTACATACATATATCAAACAATTTTAAGTGTCTGTAAATTGCTATTGACAGACCAATTGTAGGTGAAGGAACCATGATTTCAAGCACAAATTGATAATCACTTTAAATATTTTTCTACAGAATCGGTTGATTTTTGGAGTACGAACGGAAATCGCGCAATTTGGTTTTATGTCTATAAGAATCAAGCTGAATGGGTGCCCATTTTGGCGGAGGCTGGCTTCGATTTTCACCATGCACGAACTGGCGTTGTCGCCATGTACCGTTGGCTGCCGAAGGACGAGAGCAGCAACTTGCCCAACTACGCCCACACACTACTCGGCGTGGGAGGTCTTGTTATCAATGATAATGACGAGGTTCTAGTCGTATCTGATCGCTACGCGATGATACCTAACAGCTGGAAGCTACCTGGGGGCTACGTAGAGCCGCGCGAGAACCTCATCGATGCGGCCATTCGCGAAGTGTGCGAGGAGACGGGCATACAGACGACATTTAAATCGGTCGTATGTCTGCGACACTCGCATGGCGGCAACTTTGGTTGCTCCGACATTTACATGGTAGTAGGTCTGAAGCCTCTGAATTTGGACTTCAAGCGCTGTGAGCGCGAGATTGCGCGACTGCAATGGATGCCAATTCAGGAGTATCTAGAGCATCCCCAAGTGCACGAGACAAATCGGCACTTTGTGCGCACCTATCTGGACTATCAGCGACGGGGTCTGGTGCTCACCTGTCGCTGTGAAGTGCATCAGGTGCTGAAGAAGGAGTACAACTTATATTTTGTAGATCAACACACGCCGCAGTCAACATCAAATGAAGCCACAAAGTAGCCAGAAGCGGAACAACAGCGCAATTATTTTTGTTTAAATTTCCCTTTGTGCATGTTTAGTTAAAATTTGTAGCTATATAATATTTTTTGGATGGGTGTAATTAAAAAAAAGCTTTAACATCTATACTTGGGTTTGCAAACGTGAACGTCCAAAACCAGTTCAACAAAATCCACACATAAATCTTAAAGGAAAATCATTTGTGTCTTCTAATATTCTACAGAACTTGAATTTTGTGGAACTACAGGTTTGAATTATAATTACTGGACTATATATCATAGTGATTGCCACAAGAATCTTCGCTGGAACAAACAACAGTTTACTTTTTTTCTCAATTTTTGTTTTTCTGGATCAGTTTTTCGCAAATACAGACAAGTTAAATAGCATATTTATTTACATGTTTCAGTTTGAAGAAAGGAATAGTTAATCATAAACTTGTAATTTTGGTTTAAATCCTCTTTTTCATAAGCACTGTTGATGTGTGCCCTATAAGCCCGATAATTGCGACAGCGGCCAGACGCGGCACACTACACGACTCCGTATGAGCCCCAAAGGGATAGGCCCATAATAACGAGAGTCGGAACTGTTACCCTTGTTATCGCCCTCGATCCAAACACAACCACGCGGCACATAATCCGTGGTCATGGCTGTCTTCACCGGCTTTTGCACGGACTCTGCCTCAATGGGATGCGGCTTCTGGGTGACAATACGCTCGCCAGAAACAGCAACAATGCGCTTGCATATATATTGGTCGGCATTGACGGGCGAGACAGCGATGATGATGTCGCCGGACTGATAATTGCGCCAGTACTTTGATATCCGTTCCGTCAGCAAGACGTTGTCCGAGAACAGCGTCGGCTCCATGGAAGGACCCTTGCACTAGAGAGCGCTTGACATTAGCCAAGCATAGAATCATTGACAGCTGCTTCCTTCAACTTACCAGTACAAAGTCGCCAAGATATTCGAACGTACAGTGGGTTATACAAGCATATTGTATGGTTATTCGCATCAGACTGCGTAAGCGCGTCAATATATTATATTTCATGCTTATATAGCCACTGAAAAGCGCTCGCTTCTAGTCCGATCAGTGCATCTTAGCCGGGTTTAAAGATTCTAAACTAAAACGAAAGCAAACGCTTAACCGAAGAGCACAAAACGGCTGCAGCCAGGGATACATCATTTTGCAACAGCTGTCTGAGGGCACCGCAAGGCAACTGTAAACTTATTTACCTTGCTGTTTGACCGAGGTGGCAGCTTCTTTTTCTGTTGTCGCTATCGGCTAACACTGTTTGACTATCGCAGGCCCGCAGTTTTCAAAAATAATTTCGTATACAAAATACAAAAACGCTCGACATTAACAAATGAACACGTGTGTGAATAATAATAGAATACATCTTCAATATGTTGTTTATTGACAACTGCTCCAACATTTTTGAGTAAATTTGCATTGCATTCGTGACTGTTACAAAAAAAAATATATATATATTTTACAACATTGAATTGTTACTCCACATGTGAGTAAATACAATTACAGGTACCCGCCGTACAACTTAGAAGTTTTTAGTTCATGATTCGGCTACAAGTTTACAATTGTTTGACATACATTAAATAGAATATTAAGAATTCATTCACTACAAATGGGCGGTCACTAATCTAACCAATTTATTTACCAACCCATTAACAATTATCGTTTTTTTTTCATATTTTTTTTTGTATTTTTACTAGTTACAATTTTGGAAGTAGTAGTAATTACTGTTTTACTCAAAAAATAATAACAATTTAAAAAATACATACTATAAAAAATATAAATAAATACAATAAACTTTGGAAATACACAAACACTTTCAATTGTTCCAAAATTGATAATTATGTATGCATAATTTTATACATAAACACATGTGCTTGCGTGTGTTTTTGTATGTACAATTCAAGCGCAACATAAGATAAATAACCTTTAAACTAAAACATAAAGTATACTATGCAAATAATAAATATGTAACGACTACATATGTACGATTTGTTTTGTTCGAAAGGAGGTACACTGCTCTCCATTCTCCACCTTCAAAATATATAACTAAAATTCAAAATAAAATCAACAAATAGCGTGCTAATGTAAATATATAACTAGAGTTCGACTATTCATAGTTCATTTTGGAATCGAAAAGTTTTTGCTTAGTACTTTTAAATAATTGCCGACGACAGTTGTTTAATCTATTCCAACTTCTTGCCACCTACAGCTACCTCCTCCTTCTGACGCTTCTCCTGACGTTCACGCACGTCGACAGCAGCCAAATCAACGCCAGCCACATAGGCGTGCATTATAGAGATCAGGGACTTGAGCACAGCAAATGGAGCCGACAGGAATGCCAGTATTTTGAAGAGCGAAGCTCCAAATACTAGAGAACAAGACAAAATACAATCGAATGTAATTAAAAATAAATCCAGCAATGATATATTACGTACTCAACGGCCCATAGGTGAAATTTAACAGATATAGGCAAATGTAGAACAGCTCGTTGACGCAACACATGAAGGTCAATACATCCTTCTGATAGTAGATGCGCATTACAAAGTTATCGTTCACCTTATGCGAGACACGACCAACGATAACGCTCCTGCAAACACATAGAACACAATAAACATATGTGCATTATATTGAATAAGAAACAGCTCGAACATTGATATATGCTTACGTTTGCATATAAAGCCAATGACAGGCCACATCAATGGCAATTGATAGCTGGAACCAGAACATATAGCGAGGATAGAAATACGCCAGGGTGACCAGCAAACCTGTTGTGCCGCAACGATCCGTCAGTTGGTCCAGCATGGCGCCAAACCGAGTGCCTGAAGTTTGCAATATGAGATTAAAATTATAGTAGGCTTTGGTATTTTAGTCAAGCCGTGTGCCCCTATTTCGTCTGTAAATTGCTACTCATTTCAAAGCTGTGCAACAGTGCAAAAATTGATTCCTTCTAAAGTTGTTTTTTTCGCATTATATTCAGAATTTTACATGTAAAAATTTTAGTAACATTTAGGTAAGTTTTCAAGCTACGCCGAAAAACATCATATAGGCAAATTATGATAATGGAGAACTGACATACAAATCAATAGATCAGTGTGTGTGTGTGTGTGTGTGTGTGTTGTGGGGAATATTTTCTGTAATATTCACAATATCCATATATGTATGTACATGTGATATTTATTAGCTACCGATACGGTAGACGATATGAAAAAGTCTTCCAAATGCTTGAAAAATAATCTTCCTCTAGACTAACAATTGCTAGCGTGTTGACCATATAAAGGTGAAAATAAAACGCGATACAAATATTTATGAAGAAATTATAGATTGCTGGGGTTGTAAACAATGTGTGTGTGTGATAGAGTATGTATGTATATATAAAAGCCCACGGCGACGGGAAAAAAAAGTTCTATAATTCTAGTGCGCCGCAACTAGCGTTTTCAATAGCCGGTGACCGGGTGTGTCCATACGTATGAATATGTGTATGCACATTTATATGTAAATATGTACACACATGACTACGTCATTGTGTGTATGTAACCGCATTGTATGGTCTGACGTGTACAGAAGAACATGGATTTTGTATTCCAATTCTAAATGCTTACTCTGATTAAAGGCCCGTGCTGCATGTCCATCGACGGCATCCAGAAGGGCACTTATTGCGTAACACCAACCAGAGATCACATAGTTCGTTGACATAAACCAGAAGGCAATTAGAGCCAGAACGATGCGCGCATAACCTGTACAAGAAATTAAGGCCAAGAGTGGAGAGGAGTCATTGAGAAATACTTAGGTAGGTGGGCAATCAATAAGAAGACGATGTTGTTGCTACTTGTTTGTTTTTATAACATTATGGGAATTGTTAAGACACTATTGTTGTTGTTATTGTAGTCAAGTATGTATGGACATGTATGTGCATATGTATGTAGTCTGCATTTTACAGGTTGCAGCCCGCGAAATTTTTGAGCTTTGGGACAGAATCGGCAACGAAACGACGCTAATTAAATTAAAAGCGTATGTGAAACAACAACAACGACAACCAGATTAGGTGGGTGCGTAATTATTGTTTGTATCATAAATTCCATACGTTGAGTTTATTTACATACATACATGCATATATACATACATATGTGTGTACATATCAAATAATAACAAATCTTACCAATCAAATTTGGCACAAAGATGAAAACATTGTCGTGTTCGGCGATGGCCATTTTATGCGCGTTAATAACGAACAAACGTTTGATTAGCTTATCAATTTATTAATTCCTTTTAATGGGCCCCTTTCGTCCTGCCTATTAAATGCTTAGCGCGTGCCGTGCGCTTATAATTGCTACAGTTCTTACTTGTATATATTCTATGCGCTCTCTCCCTCTGCAATTTTGCCTGTATTCGATACACCTGTGCACATTCAGTGTTGGAAAGCGTTAGCGCAGGGCTGCGTATGCGCAACAGCTGTTATGAGTCTGGCAGCACGGTGTAATAAAGAAAATCAGCCGCTGTTTGTGTTTTCTTTTGTTTTAGTGTTTGGTAAATGCAAATTGGATATAATATAAATGTAAATTTGAGCAATTACAGTTAAGTGTAAACACACGTCTGGGCAGACAGGGCAACATGTTGTTCAAACGAAGTTAGCTGAGCTCCAATCAACTGAATTTTAGAGAGACCGCGCTCCCCTTGAAACTTCACCAGCATGGACAAATTACGGAGTGTTCCTGGCACCAGCTCAAACATAAGTTACACCGGCAACGTGGTTCCGCCTTCCATTGAGCAGCAACAGGACAACAATAGTGAGGACTACCCAAAGACTCTAATTGAACAGTACATGCGGGCATCGGGAAAAATTAAAAAAATCGAACGCACGGTGTTCAAGTAAGTCCAAATGGTGGATGATAATCATCTTATTTAGTTTTCCATTCTCCAGCAAATTAATTTGCCACCCTTTTTGTTTTTCTCACCTTCCTTCTTTGCAGACGTTTCGCACCGAATGTGACGGAAGTGCAAGCAGATTTTCAGCGTTTGGCCTATAGTTTCGAAGATATGGGCATCATGCAATATGCGGCAATGTGCCACATGGGCTTTGCCAAATGCGAATCCTACGGTGGAGCGAAGCAGCGTGAAGCTGAGGCCTATGTGCGAGCCGCTAGAGACTTTATGTTCGCGCACAGCGAGTTTGGCACAATACACATGCGCACAGCCCACAACGGCTTCCGGGAAGGTGCCTTGCATTGCTATAACAAGGCATCGGAGCGCGTGGCCGATGGGGGTGTAGCCAAGGCATCTGTATTGCGCGAGCTGAAGTACCTGCATAATCAGCTAGATCGCACCAGCGCGTTTGCATCACCCGCGCATCGCATTAATGATCTAGAATTAGCTGCTGAACAATATATGAGACGTGGTGATTATTTGGGTGCTCTGCAACAATACGATGACATTGTAGATAATATCTATGAGCGCAAACGGGCGGGCATGTATGGCGAGCTACTACGTCAGGCAGAGGTAATGCGTCTAATGCTGTTGGTGCATCTAAATTTGACACCAGTGCGTCAATCGCCGGCACACATTAAACTTTTAGAATACTATTATTCGCTGGCTATTCATCCGGAGGAGCCCTCCGACGAAGAGGACCGGCCTACAACAGAAGCAAAGCAAACTAATAAGCAGGTGCCAGGCGCCTTTGTGCCAGAGTATCAGCGGCAAACGTTGGCCGAGATTGTGTGTGCGTGGGTGGAGCGGAAATTGTGCGAGCTTAAGGTTCTAATAATGCATTTTTCATGCGAGTTTTGCTCGATCAGTAATATGGAGCGACAGCTTGTGAAAAAGATATATTCCGATTTATGCAAAATATTTTAGAGCGCACAACAGACGCCGGCTTCAAGTCAACATCAACGATGATCTCAGATTATAAATCGAGATTAACACTAGATCACACTCATGTAAATATCGCCAGTCGTGGCTGCAACTCTGTAACGTGCCTACAAGCATTATAACACATAAAATAACACACAATATTTAAAACCGTATATTATTTGTAAATAGACATAGATATAAAATGTCGTCACAATAAACCTTATACACTTAATCAATCAATTAACGTGATGCAAAGCCAGTATGGACTTACGTCAACAAAAAGGTAAGAAACAAGAAGAAATGATTTTCATAAAGCCCGACTAATGCTAAGCAACGGCAGTTTCATTTTTAACAATAGTTGAAATAATTGATATGCAACAGCATATCTGACACAAAACTTAAGACCAGAGAAAATTTCAGAATCAAAAAATAGCTGCTATTGATAGCCCATTAAATTGGAAAGAATTTGTTTAATATCTAGGGATTTTTTTACCCATAGGGTGAAAAGGGTATATTAGGTTTGTGCAAAGTATGTAACAGGCAGAAGGAAGAACCTCCCATAAAGTACATACATATATTCTTAATCAGCATGAACGCCTTGATTTCGGAAACGGCTGAGCGCATATGAACCAAACTTAGTCTCCAAGTTCCTAGTCTATACGAGTTTATTTTATATTTTTGATTTTCACCATGCTACAGAATTTTGATTAAATAAATATAATACACATTTCCAAGACTACCAGAAAACGTTTCACTAAATGGCTTTCAGGGGCACTAGTCCCTACTGATGGTGGGTCAGCACTGAAAGACCTTTTGACAGATTCAATTATTCCTAAAAGCAGACTGGTCCCAATGGAATTTATATGTATTTGCATGCACATCTATTGCAACGCCACACCATCCTATCCAATCTGCGGAATATCTTCTATTCAAGCTATTTTTTAAAAAGATATTGCTTTTTTTTAATAATTACAAGTTTGAATTTTTATTATTTTGGGCTTGTCCAAGCAAACTAAGTAGGTAGTCTTGCAATTTGTTTAGCTCTTGAATGTGGCTCCTGTTGCCTTAGTCAGCCAAGAATTGCTCAAAATACATCAATATGTATCTTTTGTCCATATATAGTATGTGCATTAATATATGATAAATATTTTGTTACATTTTCTATGCACAACGCACTGCGAATATTTTGTTACACGTATGTATGTATATTGTTTAACCTTAGCACAACATGTCGCATCGATTTAGTTTTTTGTCATCCTATAAAATGTGTTTTCTATTATTTGTAATGTAACAAGAGATTTTTGTTTGGGCTGTGCCTGGTTTGTAGTATATTTTAATTAAATTACAGTATTTGTTGGTATTGAATTTGATTTGTGCACCGATTTCTGTGCCATACACATACATGTTTATTTCGTTTGCAATTAACAAGTTTCTAATTTAATTACATACATACAATGGTTCATATTTAGAATATCTGTGTGGTCAGCAAGCAGTTGAGATGTGTCATCTTCCTCGGCTTTCTCTTTCCCTCTCACTGTTTAGCTGAGACTCTGTCTCGCTCTTCAACTGCTGCTGCCATAACTTGGAAGGAGGGGGGAGGCAGTGACAACTTTGCAGTTTCCGGTTCTGGTTGTCGCTTCCAAACGAGCGCCATTATTTATTGTATTTTATTTTTAATATATTTATATATATATTTATGTATATAGCGTAAATAAATTACAAAAACTCTACAAAAAATTATTAAGCAAGTTACATAAGCGAAACATCACAAGCAGTTTTGTTGATTTTGTTTTAGGGATTTTCTTCTTTTTCTCTTACAACGTGTTTTACAATTAATTTCATTCATTTATTTTATCGTTCGACACAAAAAATAAAAACAATTCAGCTAGAATTTAAGTTAACATGGGTGTGTGTGTGTGTGTGTGAGAGTAGTTCTGGTTCCTGTTGTTGTAGTTGTTGTTGTTGTTTTCTTACTGCATATATAAACAAATATATTTGTTTCAACACAATGTTGTCTAAGCGCACGCGCAAGTTCAACCCAAAACGAATTTCGCACAGTGTAGGCAGAGCCATGAGTGGGCCATTTAAGAGAGGAGATAGTGTGTAGCGGAGAGTGTGTGTGTTGCAGTTTCTGTAAGTGTTGTGTGTTGTTGATCTATTTAAACCAGTGACCGGCACAAGTAGAGGTCTTCTACTTTTACTTCGCCTTGGCCTTCTTTTCATTCTCTGATGTAATCTTGTTCTTCAAATGATCCTTGTAATCTAATATACCACCCTTCCATTTGGTAACCGTCTCCTTTTCGCAAACCCAAATTTCTTCAGCCACCTGACAAACGATAAACCGAGAATTAGCAATAATCTTTAATATATTATGGGATATATATCGATGTAGCTCACCTGATTGATCAGACGGAAATCGTGGCTAACCAGAACCATACCGCCATCGAAATCGTTGATGGCATCCGCCAATGCATCGATTGTCTCCATATCCAAATGATTGGTAGGTTCGTCAAGCAAAAGCAGATGTGGCACTTGCCACGCAAGCCAGGCAAAGACGACGCGACAACGCTGGCCATCAGACAGCTGACGTATGGGACAGACCTGCTGGCGACCTGTCAGGCCGTAACGTCCAATAATCTTACGCATCTCCTCCTTCTCCTTGACATCGGGGAAGGCCCTCATCATGTACTCGAGCGGACTGGCGTCCAGATCCAAAAGCTCGTGAAGATGTTGGTGGTAGCGTGCAATGCGCAAATGTGAGTTCTTGCGTATCATGCCCGAAGTGGGCACCAGATCGCCATAGAGTAGCTTCAAAAGTGTTGATTTTCCAGCACCATTCGGCCCCACCAACGCTAGACGTGTATCTAGATCGATACCAAATTCGAGGTTCTTATAGATCCACGGTGTTTCATCGTTGTAACGAAAGTGTACATTCTAAAATCCAGATTAGAGTTGAGTAAATACTTGGCTTATACGTCTAATTTGAAGGGTAACGAAATCAAATTTTTACTATACAGTCTTTTCCACATTGCAATCAAAAAATTATCTATCCTATGTTGTCATTATTTGTGCCTTATACTAATTACCTAGAGCAACATTTTACGAACGTGGATAAAAATAAAACAGCTCTAAAGTACTATTAAAGAAATGGCGTCTTAAAAATACTTTCCCGTAAAGCAACAGCTGATTACACAAGAGAGAACAAATTTTTGCCTCAACTCTGGATCATGCATACCCCAAAAATTTGCACAACTTTTTTTCGTGTTTTTTGTTTAAAGTAGAATGATGTTTTGCTTCTGCGCTTACAAGTGTACTTTTTGAAATATTAGAAATATTATTAGAGATATTATTGCAATCTTGTTAAGATATTTTTGCACGCTTTATTAGTTCTCAAGTTAAAATTTGTTAGCTTTTTAAAATAAGATATAAAAAAAAGAAACTTTTATGTTGTTTAAATTTTGAAAATTCTATATTAGATTATAGGAGTACTAAAGGGCATACTGAACACGGTTTAGCACCTACATATTTATTAAAAACATAAAATTAGTTTCAAATTTGAGATTCCTATATTTCTAACATTTTTAAAATATTTTAAATGATCCAAAAAGAAGCCAATATCGATTTAAGATTAGCTTTAAAAATAGTGCAAATGCTAAATTCTTTTTAAAATAAATTTTCAGGCTCAGCCGGAGAGTTTGAGATGAAAAACTAGTTACACCGCAAGCACCATTTGAATTTATGTAGCTGAAATTTTACTATCAGTCTCACCTGCACCATAATCACAGGTGGCGGCACCTTGCCGCATGATGGGAAGTAGAAGTTCAACGTCTTGTCGTCCGACACCTTTTCCGTGAGACCCTGTGCAACCATCTTGGCCAGTGTCTTCTCCTTGGACTGAGCTTGACGCGCCAATTTGGCCGAACCGTGACCGAAACGGGCTATATAGTTCTTCATGTGCGAGATCTGATCCTGCTCCCAGTTATACTGCTTCATCTGGTTCTCTAATAGCTCCATGCGTGTGCGCACAAAAGCCTCATAATTGCCTGTATAATATTTGAGACGTTTCTTGGTCATGTGTATGATGTTGGTGCAAACGCCATTGAGGAAGTCCTGTGAATGCGAAATGAGCACCAATATACGTTTATATGTTTTGAGTTCTTCCTCCAGCCACACGCAGGCATCTAGATCCAAGTGATTAGTCGGCTCGTCTAGAAGCAACAAATGGGGCTTGACGAAAAGCGCACGGGCTAGCGCAATACGCATACGCCAACCACCTGAAATAGCAAAGAAGTTAGATGCTATATAGTGGGTGATAGCCAGCTGTGGGCTAACCTGAGAAATCCTTGGCCTGTTTCTGTTGCATGGCCTTGTCAAATCCCAGACCGTGTAGAATACGAGCTGCCTTTGCCTCGGCCTGATCCGCTGACATATCATCGAGTCGCTCATAGATATCAATCAGTTGCTCCTGTGCATCGTCCTCCTCGCTCATGGCCAGCTCTTCGGCCAGTTTCTCCAGCTTGATACGCTCCTCATCCACCTCCATGACGCACTGCAATGCACTTTTAGTGCTCGCCGGGATTTCGCGCGTCAGATGGAAAATATCAATGTGTTCGGGTATGGGAACCTCACGGTTGCCTAAAACCGCAAGCAAGGATGACTTGCCACAACCATTTAGACCGATGACGCCATAGCGCCGCCCACAATTCAACTCGAGCATGGTATCTTGCAGCAGCTCCGAGCCGAAGAACGTGATCGAGAAATTGGCAATTTTTATATCACGCGAACGCGGATGGACGGCCAAAGAACCAGTACAGGAACGTGCCTCAGCACTGATACGAGCCTCTTCGGCCAGCTTAGCGCACAGTTTCTCCTCCTCAGTCATTTCACGCTCAGGCTGTCCGTTGGTGCCATTTGTGCCTTTCTTTGTTGAAGGTATTTGTTGGATCTTCTTGTTGCGCGCGTCCTTCTTGCGCTGAGCATCGCGTTTCTTAGCATCGGATGGCATCTTGTTGTTTTTAGACAAATTTACAACAAATCTGAATGCGTTCTATTTGAAACGGGTGTGTGTGGAATCTATGCCAAAGGGTTTGTGTGCTGTAAGTATAAAAGGAAAATAAAAAACTCCAGTAAGTGACTGAATTTACAAAGTTGAAACGTACAATTCTAATTTATTATTCGACAAAAATATGAAGCTGACTTTTAGGCTCCTATAAAAATCAATCAACCCCAAATAACGACGCCGCACTTTTGCATCGTGTGTACAATAACCAAAGCTGTTTTAACATACTATGTATTTATTTATGTTTTTTGCGGCGCTGCTCTATATTGAAAGAAGTTTGAATTGCATGTTGTTAGGGCTGTCAAATTGTGGTGATTGTTGCTGAGCGCGCGAACCTCACTCACACACACACCGAATGCTAACACTGGCTATAGCGAAAAAGAGTAAAGGAATCCATAAAGAGCGTTACAAGTTTGCACGTCACTAATTCCCATCTGCACTGCACTCACAACAACAATAACGATGACAGCAACACAACACACAGACACCGTCCATATGCGTATTGGCGAAATGAATCATTTTGCAATGCACAAAAGAATTCCACTATAGAAGGCCACTGCGGCACCGGACGGTGGCAGAAGAAAAAGTTGAGCGTGCGCCAGTGCCAGACAATGGCGTATGAAGTGCTGGCGGAGGGATAAGACTGCTCCCCGCACACACGCACATGTGCATACACTCATCAGCACGCCTGCTACTGGTCCATCGCATTATTGAATTTTTCACGAATGTGCGGGTGTTAATATTGCAACACTAACCTTAATTTTTTAATATGAAAAAAAGAAGAGCAGCTGACAACCCCAACTCAAGCTAAAATGTCTAAAAAAAAAGAATTTCTTTCAACACACACAATGCAACAACGGACACCACTCGCCAATAAACGGAACACACACGCGCACGGAGCAGCTGCAAAAAACTGAAGAAATGACAGACTGAGCAACTTCCACGTGTTTCGGCTGGTTTTGTAGTGCGTACGTAGGTTTGCCGCGCGCATCAAAATGTAACCAATGTAGCTTTGCCACGGCCACGTTGGGTTCACTTGACATACACACCTATAACACGTTTTGAAAAAAATAAACGCGTTAAAACGCTTAACGTATAAAGATTTATTAATAAAAGAAACGATGCGCCAACATTTAATACTTTTATACAGTGTGCAAAATCCCTTCGGAAATGTGGCAGCACTCGAAATCAGCCAATGTACTATCGTACCAGCTCTCAATGATATCGTTATCGTTTAACTGCTATCTATCGCAGCGCCTATCGTGTGCGGTTGCCATCAACTGTGGGGGCGTTTTTCATCGGTGTGTGCGCACTTACGGCGTGAAAATACGCACGGGTTTCTAGTAGTTCTACCAGTACTATTTGTTTATTTTTTTCGGTTTTTTTCCATAAATGAAATAATGTACCAAAAATGTAGTGCAATTTGTGCCCAACCGCAATATAAAAGCAATCAATGGTCGTCAAGTGCAGTCGAATTTCATTTGCGCGTGGTGAGTGAGTCAGTCCTTCAGTGAATAAGTCGCCGTGCGTGCAGCACCTAAAAATGGCCGAAATGCAGTTAGCGCAGCAACTACAACAAACACACAGCGATACCAATAAGAGGCAGAGACATCGACACAAGCAGTAGCAGCAGCAACAGAACTTGCAATGATATTCAATTTTCAATTGCCGACATTGTATGTGTAATTGTTATTAACGTACGCAAGTACAACACATACATACATACATAGGATTAGCACCACACGGAAGGAAGCAGCAATACACATACATACATATGTACAAATTCATAGAGCAGGCAGACAGGCGCAGGCTGCTGTTTTGACGCGCGACTACACCCAAAAATGAAAATAAAAAGAAACAAAACGCAGCACAACAACAACGACGAAATGTTGAAGTAAAAGCAACAACAGAAACCACGCAACGGCACTTCAGTTGAGTTGTATTGAGAAACGCTTATGATTGTGTGGGTGTAGGCAGAGCAGCAAAGCAGCCCAGCAGCTCCAGAGCACATAAACGACGTCGGCATTGTGTTCATTCTGCCGATCGCTCGCTCGCTCTTTCGTTCATTAGTGGAGTGTGGAGTCGTTTGTGCGTGTATGTGTATGGAGTAACAACATTCGCCTACGCAGCAGCCAACAGCGACGCCAAGGAAGCGGCTGTGAAATTCACATTGAAAATATATAACATGTGTATATGTATATATATATAAGAGACTGGGCAAAAAGAAATAAGTGCAGCAGTAAAGTAGCAGCGGATGAAAGAATAGCCAGTAAGAAATGCATGCGCATGCACAAAGCATAACCACGGCGAAATTCAACAGAAAAAGAAATAAGTACACACACTTATACATGAATATAAATACATATATATTTCTACATACATACGTACATGCATAATTAAACGGGTTTCAATTTAATTGACTACGTATTGAAATTCAAAACGCGTTACGTCAAATTATGCCAAACTTTGTTGCTGTATTTTTGTTTTTGTGACTTGACAGTGTGTGCACTTTTGTGTGTGTACGTTTGTGTGGTGCAATACCGCCCGCTGCCAAATTTAAAATCAGTCCAGTCCAACAGTGCATTAAGTTCCAGACCAGCGACCGCTTCGTTGTCAAGTCGACTTTGTTGTTGTTGCTACTGTTATTGGTTGGTTGCAGTAGTCAATTCATCTTGCCCTTGCGCTGCTCCGCTCGTCTTCAAATTATGGATTGTGGTGGTCTCGCAGCACAGCAGCAGCAGCAACAACTACAACAGCAGCAGCGTTTATTACTACAACAACACAAACAGCAAGAGCAGCAACTACAACAAAACTCATTGAAGTGTCTTGAGGAAATAGCAACAACAAATGTAAGTTTATATGAATATACTATACATATGTTCTCTTACACTCACACAAAATCAGCAGCGAAGCTCATACACATACACACGCACATTCATGTTCACACGCACTTATATACGTACATGCATATGTATGTATGGCTTTTTTGTTGCTGCCGCTGTCTTTGTTTATTTTTGAGCTTTTCTTTTTGCATAGTTCTTTGCGCTTTGCAGCAATTGCCTTGGAGATCCTTGCCTCCTCTGTCAGTCGATTTATGCATTCTTAATGAAACTCCGTAGTTTTTATACGCTGTAGTGATGGATCTTGTGGGGGACAAGTACGATTATGACCCATTCACAAAACATTAAATATGTAGCTATAATTTAAGCAGCTGTTGGGGAAAACCCATTAGGTGTGAACAATAGAAATCTGAAAAATAAATTGTAATGGTATATTTGTTTACCATTTAGCATCAGTCATAAACACAGATTATTGTACGCGAAATGTACTCGTAATTGTACATATATAATCGATTCAATATGAATTCGGGGAGACCCATGACAGCTATTTATAGAGTATAATAGAAATTTCCGAGGTCGGTAAAAGCATACAAACGCACAGCACAAGGCTTTTCTTTGCCCATTGTTGATCAAGAAATGGTTTGTTCTGTTTCTATACGTACACAAAACTATCTTCGGTATTATGCGAAGAATTTTCTGTCACCTCTACTAAAAAATTTATTGAATTTTCAAAAAGGATTTTAGATTCAAAACTAATCGATGTGTAATAATATTCAGAGCTGGATTGCAACAAATTTATTTAATGGATGTGTGTATGTAAAGAGTGCTGTTTTCCGTACTAAGAACAAAGAAAATTCTTTTAAAATATCAGTTTTTAGCCTGAGTTCTCTTGATTGGCACAACAAAAAACTCTAGGATGATTAACTTTGTTATAAAAATTTAGTATATTAAAAGTATATCACCACATATTGGGAGAAAGTCTATGCCAATAGCGGAAGTTTCTAAATCTGTCAAAATCGTCCAAAATCGAGTGAAGGCACGGAATACAAGAGTTGAAAGCGAAATACATATGTACATACATATGTAAATAATCTAACTTTTACTTTTTCCAACATGAACCTATAGTTTCGATTTTGCCAATTATTACGAAAGTATTTGGATATCCTTGCAAAGCGCCCTTAAATGTTATAAATCGCTATGAAGCTGTTACTCTCTGGCCGACGCAAAAATAATTAAACTAAATTTACGAATTTTCTTAGATTTTATTTTATTTTTATCAATTTCAACAAATTGGAAAGCATTATTGATAATGAATAATGGACCAAATTATATGTGGAATATAGTCTGCTTTTATATCCCTTTTTGTCCTTCGTAATTTTTCATTGGGCAATGCCAAATTGGTAAGCATTGAAAAATGTCCTTTTCCCAATTTGAAATAGGCCCAATCGCATAGTTTGGAAAATGTGTCAACAAAGTTCTATATGTGCATGCTTTGGAACTTCCGATAAACATCTTGTTACAAGATTGTGATAAGAGCCAAATGGCAAATTGTTGAACCAATTGTTTTGTATTATAGTGCGAAAACTTGAGTGACGATGATTAAGCCCGTCTGGCAGCTGGCAGCGACAACAAAGCCGTGCAGCCGACGATGACGCGTCTGACCGGCAATGTGTTAAGTGCTTTTCTTCTCTTACTTGGTTGCTGTACTAACTCTTGTTCATTACTTTCACCGAACATACATAAATTCTAAAGTAACAGCAATATGGTACGTGAAGTAGGGGAAGTGGAAGAGTGTGTAAAGTAAAAAATTAAATTGTTTACACAAAATCTCGGTAAAAACAACAGCAGCAATAATATAACAACAACAACAGAACGACAGTAACGTTCAAAAATGCAAGACGTAAGACGCAAGACAAACGACATTGGAAAGAAACCCTCAACGGGCTGTTGCTTCCTCTTCTCTTTTGTTTTTGCCGCAATAACTACGCGTGTTTGCCGCTGTTGCTGCTCCTTTGGTTCTTTCCCTTACATTTTCCTTATTTATTTTCTTTCTTTGGTACGTGACTGCAATAAAATTTAACTGCAATTACGTGCTGCATGTTTGTATTGAAAAATGGCAATGTAAAAGCCAAAACAGAACAGCAACAACGCAATGGCTCAAGGATATGCGCGCTGTATGTCACAGCAGGCTTTACCGTCGGCTTCCCTGTCCTGCTGTTTGTGGTGCTGCAAGCTAGCGGTACATTTTGCGTTCTTAATTGCTGTTGCGATATGCGTGCGTATCTAATTTGTTTAATTTGTTAATTGTGCTAGAAATTCAAAATAATTCTTCCTTTTCCCTACTGCTGCGAAAATAGGCACACAAATAAATTAACACACCCACACACATTCCTGCGAAAATTTAACATACAATACCGTTGAGTTAGTGCTGCCAACTCGAGCTACACTTCGCTCAGCGAATGGCATCACTGTCAGAAGGCGCTCTCTCTGTAGTAGCGCTGCTGCTGCTCACATTTCAATTTCGACGGTCGCGCTCACCAGTAGCATCTGAAGCGCGACAAAAGCCACAGCGCGCGGGACAAAAACGAAAAATACAGCTCCAACAACGGAAATACGTAAAAAAAGAAACAGCAAACAAAATTATAAACGAGCGCGGAAATTAAAAGCAACCAGAACGTTTATTTATTTATTTTTTTATTTTGTTTGTTTAGCTTTGAGTTTCTTTTTTGTCGCTTTTTGTCACGCGCTGTGATGATTTTTAGCATTTGCTTTTTTTTGAAATAAAATTTTTTTGGCTGTGCCTTCGTGTTTATTAAGTTCCTGCTGTTACAACAATAACAAAAATAAGCTTTATCTTCCTATTTAACGGCCGGCCGTTCATTTTGTTGATTCGAATGGTACAAACGCAATAACGCACGAGAAAAGCGGCAAATGAAGCAATAATTAAAAGTGCCTTTTTTAATTGAACAACGCAAACGCAAAAACAAGAGCGTTGCTTTTTGAGGAACGCAACGGCAATCGAAATAAAATTGACGTAAACGTAAGCACCACAAAACAAACACACTCAAGTCCACATTCATATGTATGTATGAATGCATAAGTAATGTACATATCCCGCACAACAGCACAGTTAAATGGACAAAGTATGTACATATGCATATGTACGTATGTATATATGGATGCATGTACATATATACTTGTATATATTTCTATATACCCGTACATATGGTCGAGCGTACTCAGTTGTCCGCTTGCGTTTTTGTTTTCTTTTTGGCAGTTAATATTAATGCGTTTTTGGCTTTGTCTTGTTTCGAAGGGGCTGCATTACAAGCCCCCAAGCAGAAGCAGAAGCAGCAAGCAAGCAGTCAGTCAGTTTATTTGCTCTAACGTGCACAGACAGACACACAAATACATACATATTTTTATGTATGATATTTAATCAGTGGGGTTGCGGTTGGGTCGATTGGTCGTTTTCAAACTTGACTTTGCCATATGCTTTTATTATTGTTTACTCGGGTTATTATTTATGCTTCATCTCTCTTGATCTTCCCACTTACTATCTAATGTATACACACATAGTACATACAACACAGATGGATGCGGCATTTTTCATTCAACTTTTGTGCATGCGGCAGCAAAATTGTTGTTTGATATGGCAACGCTGCTGCTTGTTTTGCCGGTTTTGTCTGTTATAGCCACACTCATATACTACATACCTACATATGTATGTGTGTGCGTCATACTGTTGCCCCTCACCCACGCACAGCACCATCATTACCCCCCGCTCCGGCAAGAAAAAGGTGGCTTTCCCAGTTCACCCGCATCAACTGATGAGTGACTGCATGCTGACTCGACGACGCCTGTCTTGTTGTTGCCGTCGTGGTTGTGTATGATGTTGCCTGCTGTGTCTGTCTCTCCGTTCCCATTTAATTGCTTGTGCACGTTCGTCAAATATTTGGCCAACTCTTTTTAATTACATTGCTACTACAAACAAACATACGCATTCACACGCACACAGAGCATTTTACCCTTTCAATAAACGACTGACTGTCGGCTGCTGTGTGAGAGAGCACATTAAATTTACCTCGAGAGTACACGCTTCGTGGGCACAGTGTCGCCAAAGCCAAAAAGACAGCCAAGATAAACAAAACTTGTAACAATATAAATGACCTTCGATAATGCCGCACAAAATTATGATATATATATGTAACTATATATTGAATCAATCCCAACATCAGAATTCTTCTTTGTAAAAAGAGCGTTTAAACACATACTTATATTCACTGATCCTGTTTAATACAATTTTCTGAATTTAAAAAAATAGATATCGTTTCAAATTAAAATCATATCTGATACTACAAACTAAAGCCTAAATACCATTTATTTAAAAGTGTACGTTTCAGAGCTCTCGTATTTATACTTTGAAGTGACATTTTTTTTATAAACACAGGTAATCGAGAAACCGAGATCGCCCAATCCAAACCACTGTAGTTTGAGTATATAGCTGTCTTACAGATGAAAACATTCAAAAAGAGTATTTGTAACATATTATTTTAAATTTCAAAACGTACCAAATTTTATATTTAGAATGTTTTTGTCATAACTGATGGTGTTGCGCGTCGTGATGAAATGCAAAAAATATACAAGTTACATACATACATAGTATATGTTTAGTACTCATACATTAGGGTATTAATGAAGGAATAAAACTTTTGTTGTGAAGGATATGTGCTTTTGGCACAGATGAAGGTGATTACTTCGTTCGTCAGTGCTTGTTTTTATTTTCACGCTCTAGAAATTATTTATACTTGTATATGCAGGTTGTGTATACAACAATTACCTTATACAAGCCCTGTTGTGGTCTTTTTTTGTGTGAAAATTGTATTAGTTATTTTATATAGGAGGTGATTATTTGCGAGCGTACATCATACATATCATCATATCATCATTATACATACAGATTCTATAGAGAGTAATTTTTAAGCGTTTTTTCTCTAACTAAAAATTTC